TTTTATTTCTAATACACTCTTTTGAATACCTCGATCATTAAATATACTCTGACATATACCGTCATTAGATGACTTACTCTACATGTAAAGAATTACTACTGAAGAAACGTTAAAAAATTTAGCACCAGTGTCAAGATAATAATCGATCAATACATTCGAGATAAAAAAAAAAGGAATGAGATAGATAAGAAATAATCTCAGGTCACATTTATTATCAAGAACTGGATACAAAAAAATTTCTGCGATTTACTAACAGAGATAGAAGCGATAGAGAAAAATTGGTCCAATGACTTAAGCAGACAAGTAATCATCTGTACTACATGTACTAGCCCTTTGACACTGGCTTGCTACATCACCAATTGTCCGTTCTTTTCTTTTTCCTTCTGTCACTTTTATAATTCAAACGATCACAACTAGTAAATTGTGCAATCCCATTTTTTTTTTCTTCTTTATCCTGAACACACATACATGTACACACAATCTGTCAATACTTGCTTTTTTACTATACACTCATCACAACTAGCAAACAATTAATCACCCTGTTAATATAATCATGGACATACAAAAAACACCAGTACTTGTTATATAGTATATATGTCTCTATCATATAGAAATGTGTCATTCACGCTATTATGTTAGACATGTCCATCTACAAATACAGACTGGCTTGAAGTATTTTTATATGGCGACGTTTTACTCGCCAAAAAATTGGTTTATTTTCTTTATTCACGAACAACATACAAGAGAATGGAATAGACGAATTCAGTGCATATAAATCAAAAAAAAAATGTTAGACAATGAGAATTATTAGAAAGCAAAGAAGAAAAAAAAAATATATAAAGAAAAAAATCAAAATAAGAGAATGAAATAAAAATTATTTTGATTAATTAGTAAAAATTGACAAAAAAAAGACAGATCGTTTTTATTTTTTTTGATTTTAATGTTATTTAATGGTCAATTTCAAACATAATTGCGCGTTTACCAACTGAATACATAAATGTTAAATCATTTGGTGAACGACGTCGACGATCTAAATATATAAAAAAAGAATTAATAAAACAAAAAATAATTAAACTTACTTTTAATCTCTTCAGCTGTTTTTGGAACAAGACGATATGTTTTAATCTCTTTTGGACATGTACTAACAACAATTGGACCATATATAGCAACATCAGCTTCAGTTAAAGCTGGTGTTTGAACTTTCATTGTTTTACGTAAAACTTCATTATCAGGTAACAATTGTCCTGTCTGAAAAAAAAAAAGAAGATTTTACGTCTTGATAGATTTTTTTTATTGTTTCATTACCATCATAGCCAAAAATGTTTCAATAAGATTAGCCGGATTAGGAACATGTTGACGATCAAGTGGCTTAATAAAACATTTATTGACACCAAAGTCTCGAATAACAGTAATATTCTATTAATAAATAAATTTATAAATAAAACTTTTTTTTTTGTTTTCTTTATGATAAAAAGAAAAATTACATGATCAAAATCTTCAATTATACGAACAGTACTGTTAAAACCGATTTGTGGTACTTCAATTGTTTCAACATTCTTTTTAAGATCAACATTTACCTATGATTAAAAAAGAAATGATAATTCAAAGATATATATACATGTACAATTCTATTTAATCCTTATCTGAACCATCTTATTATTTAAGAAGAAGTAATACTCTTTAATCAAGTAAAAAGATTTTAGAGTAATTAGAATAATAAAATATTATTTTAAGCAACAAAGCAAAACCATTCTTAAAATGCATTGCTCGATGAAAGAGAAAAGAATTTTCTTACCAAGATATATTGAACAAAACTGAAATACCATATCATATAAGCTTATTAAAGAATTTTTTTAATAAAAATTCTCTAGGATCAACGTTATTAGTCATGTGTTTATAGAATTAACTAATAACTTTATGACTTTTATCTAATTTTTCTATGGGATAAATGCCTTTTCTTAATATTTAATATAAAATATAATTTGTTCGAATATAAGTAAATGAAAATCATATGATACAAAAAAAAATATATTTATTAAAATATGACGTACTTCTTGTTGGTATTCCTGTTGAGGTTTTGGTGATTTTGATGGATCTAAAAGTTGATTTTTACCATCATCAAAAGCAGTTAAACCACCATGATCAAAGAAAATCGGTGTATCAGAATCTTTATCCATGGGTTTAACACGAAAACGACATGTTCGACGCCATGTCTAAATTATTTTTTTATATAAAACTTAAATAATATACATAATTTTGTTTTCTTTTGTCTTACATGATTTGTACGATTGATAAAATCAAAGAGAAGCCATGTTCCAATAACTAAACATCCGAGCATAAATAATGCCGAAAGACAACCAAATAAAACTGATGCTTGTTTACGACGAACATCCGCTACTGGTGGTATTGAATTTTCATCTTGTTCACCTTTAATTGGCTAAGAAAAAAAAAAAAAAGTTGAAACTTTTTTTTTTCTTAACAACATTCAACAAGAAACTTACTAAAACAGTGACAACAACATCGGTACTGTTTGTTTCAACCAATTGTTCCTTATCATCAGCCTTAGTTGAATTGTTTAATGAAACGCCTACCATTACCTTATTTTATGTAATAGAACAGAAAATGATCTCTCTATAATAGATAAAGTAACTATGATATAAGAATTATTTTTTTTTTAAGGCGCAATAGATCACAAAAATAAAATAACATTTTGTTAATGACAAGGAAGACGTCGGAGAAAAAAAAAATATATACGCCCTTTTCTTTCTTTTAGTATGAAGAAAAAAATAACGAATGGGTGAAAGAAAAAGAAATGATAGAATCACAATAAATAGAAAAGAAAAACTCGTTAGTTTTCTTTGCTTTACTGTGCAATGGTAATGGATATAAAGTCCTAGAAGAAATGGAAGAGAAAAAAAAACTAATTCATCATCTTTGTTTTTTTTTATTATAATAAAAATCTCGCACCTAAAATAAAATTATTTAAAAAATGCTTCGTACTCTTAGAAAGAAGTCGCAAAAAAAAAAGTTGCTCTATTTCTTTTTTTTTTTCTACGTCACCAGGATTATTTAATTTCAAAAATTTCTTTTTATAAAGATTGAATGCTCAGATAGTAATAAATAAATTTTTATCTCAACAAAATAGATACATTCTTTAAGAGCAAACAAAAAAATAATTTATGGTATGATCATTTTTTTTTTATATGATCGACGTTCTTTTATAAAATGAAAAATTATAATTGTCGCTAGTTTTGGGTAATGTTTACATTAGAAAAAATTATATGCTTGTGATTTTGATTTGAATTTCTACATTAGATAAGATATTAAAGGTGAAGTTAATCATATATTTTGTTAAAGTGTAATATTCAATAGATAAAGTAATCTATGAATTATTATTTGTTTTATACGCAGAACGAAAAGAATAAGAGACGTTCTCCTATTGGTAAAAAGAATACATTGCCCTTATTTTTCTGTATAAATTATCATAAATATGTCGTTCTTACTATAAAATGAATATTCACAATCACAAAGAAAATTTCTACTCAATCATTATAATTACTGATGTGATTTCCAAAGATTTTATTTGAGTGAATGTAAATATGTCAATACAGAGAAAAAAAAGAAAACATTATCAAAATGGTCTTCATATTCCATAGAATACCAATATATAAAACAAAACAGAAAACTAATATATATTTAAATATAAAAATAAAATCTTTTATCAATAATAAAAATTTTTACAATTTTCGATTAATCATTAATTCATAGAGTTCGGAGGTAAACAATCAAGTGTTATGGTTGCTTATGCAGCCAATGAGACAATTATTCATGAAAAAAAAACGAATATATTACGTTGTAGACTAGTCATCAATCAAGTTCTTTTTTGTTGAGATATTAATAATTTAGATTAAGGATGGCTCAACGTATAGTACGTCTTTCACGTCAAACATCACTTCTTCTATTATGTGATATGCAAGACAAATTTCGTCCGACAATAAAATACTTTCCTCAAATTATTGAAACATCGAACAAATTATTACAAGCATGTAAAATACTTGATGTTCCTTATGTAGTCACCGAACAATATCCAAAAGGTAATTATTATCAAAAGAAAGAAAGAAAGTATTCTACTATATTTTAAACATAGGTCTTGGTCGAACAGTAAAAGAACTCGATATCGGCGGTGTTAAACCATTTGAGAAAACAACATTTTCTATGTGTACACCTGATGTTGTATCACATATGAAACAAAGAGTGAAAGGTATGAGTAACAAATAAATTCATTTTACAACTCTATAAAACGTGTATAAAATCATATTTAAGTTTGAAAAAAGTCGATAGATTCTATCCGTTAGAAAAGCCTAAACCACAGTATAATGATTTTCAGAACAACAAGTTTACCGAATTTTGATCTTGAATAAAGTTTGTATTCTATATTCATTTACATACGAACAAGACGAAATATTTTCAACGGTTTATCTTTATATTTAATTTATCATATGTGATTTTTCTATAAAATATCTACATATTAATGATTGTATAGATTTTAATACGGCTATTATTTGTGGTATTGAAGCTCATGCATGTGTACTTCAAACAGCTATTGATTTATTATCACAAGATTATCGTGTTTATGTTGTTGTTGATGCTGTTTCATCACGTTCATTAACTGACAGGTATTATAAAAATATTCTAATGTAGTCTTACATAATGATTATTATGTAGAATGTATGCATTTGATCATATGCGTCAAGCCGGTGCGTTTCTTACAACATTTGAATCAATTGTTCTTCAATTAATACAAGATGCTGGTCATCCAAAATTTAAACAAATTCAACAATATATTAAAACATCTGCAGCTGATACAGGACTTCTTGCTTTAAAAAATATTTCAAATCCATCATCATAAAATGTTTAGTCCCTTTTTTCTTAATTATGATTATTAAATAATAGAAACCCTATGTTTTAATTATAAATGAGTCATGACTTTTCTTTTCTAGATGGCAGTTGATCTTTATATATTTGCAGCTGGTACGGCTCTCACGGGTCTGGTATTTTATTATTTGGCTGGTATGAATTATTCTCTAAGTTTTTGTGAAATACGATTTAGCAATAGTGTCAAAGTAAATAATTTAAATCTTTCCCAACCATGACATACACGTTAGCAACAACACCTTCGTGCTTGAGGAGCAATGTGTCGGGCGCAAAAGAAAACTCTTCTTAATTAATTTTTCAAAAAAATTGTAACTTTAATTAATATTGAGTGTCTAGAAAATAACTACATAAAGAAAATTTTGCATACGCATCTTTAGAGTCGAGTTATGGTCGTTTTATAGAATTTTGATATGAAATTTTTCTCATAGATTCTTAGAATATCCTGAAAGTTTTAGACAAAGAGAATATTTTTATTGTTAAGATATTGAAATTTTAATTTCCTTTCGGTTAAAACTTTTAGGAAATACTAAGAATCATTCTGTTTATCTATGAGTACAATTTCATATCGAAATTTCGTTACTTAATTCTTCAGTGTTAATCTAAAGCTAAATCGAAAATAATCATATTTCAACTCTAATGGTGATAGAAGTTTGGATGATTTTCTTGTTAGCCACGAATAAATGACATATCATTTTTTTTATTAATTCTTTAGAGTACAACAAGAATTTGTTGACAAAACTATAATATTAGTTTAGTTGATAACTTGTAAAAGGTGACAGTTCTTCGTTGAAGTTAGTTATTAATACTTGAAAATAATTTTTTAATAAAGCTTCTCTTATGAATATAAGCTATGAACACAACCTTATCAATGATAAAAATATCAACCTATACAAGGAAGATATTCAAATATTTATATGGTTGTTTTCAGAGTTTTGACCTGAAAGTTCTTAAAAGATACAATAGAAGACCTGGGATATTCTATTGTGAGGAGGAGTTTACTGCCTTATTACATGTCTGGAGGATTAAGTAAAAGAATAGTCAAGAAATATGTCCTAAAATATATAAAATAACACAATCATCTTTTGATTAGTAACAGCAGCTGAATCGTATTTCACATTGCAATCCCGTGAGAATTGTTCTAACAATTTTTATCTTTTTCAAGGAGAACAATGGTCTCTTTGGCATTTGTTTACAATTCCACTGTATACATTTATCTTTATTGTTTTCTTATCATTAAGCATTATTAAACGTTTTGTAAGGAATTTTTCTTTAAAATTTAATCAATATAAATTTGATTGAATGTATTAGAAATCTTCATCAAAGTCTCAATCATTAACAAAAATAATTTCTCAAGAAAAAAATGGAATTACAATTGTTTTTGGTTCTGTTAAAGGAAATAGTCAAGTAAGATTTATTTTTCTAATAAAAATAAAATCATATGCTTTTTTTTTCTTTTCTATTAGACATTTGCTCAATTAACATATGATAAATTATCAAATGAATTAAATCGTCAAGTTATTCTTCAAGATTTAAATGATATAACAGATCCAGAAGAATTTCTTCAAATACAAGTATTTATTTAATTTTTTTTTCTTTGTATTCTTATTAATTTAAAATATTTAATTAAGACTAAAAATCAAAGAATATTATTAATATTTATTTCAACATATGAAGATGGTACACCACCACCATCAGCAAAATGGTTTGTTCTTCATTTACAAGAAGCAGCAACTGATTTTCGTGTTTCAAAAAATGAACTTGAAAAATTAACCTATGCTATATTTGGATGTGGAAATTCACTTTATAATGATAATTTTAATAAAGTAAAAACATCAAATTTTTAAATATAAAAAAAATTTTTTTTTTTTTTTCAATAGGTAGCACAAGAACTTGATCAATGTTTATTAGAATTAGCAGCTAATCAACTTATACCAACTGAATTAGCTGATGAAAATACAGCAAAAAGTATTTATGGAGGTAAAGATTAATTGAATGATAAAATTTTCATATATTTATTTATTAATTTAGGTCTCGAAGGACATTATTCAAAATGGTCATCTCAATTGATATCAGCTTTTCAATCACCAAAAACCGAAAAATGTGATTGTTCAAATGAAAATTCAATAAATTGTTGTCAATCATCAAAAAATAATGAACATTCAATTGAGGTTATTAAAATTATTCATAGAAAAATTTTTTTTAATAGTTTTATATTTTTTTTAGAAAAAAGACAATGGTGAACAATTAAGAATCGAAAGTGATGATGATGATGAAGATGGAGGATGTAAAAATGGTAATGATGATGTTATGGATTTAGAAGATATGGGAGATTATATGGAAACACATTCACCAAATAAAGTAAGATATTTATTATGAAGAAATTTAATAGATAATAATTTGTTTTAGACAACCAAAGGTCCACCAAAAGAGATGATTACTCCATTAATACGTAAATCATTAGAAAAACAAGGTTATAAATTAATTGGTACTCATTCCGGTGTTAAATTATGTCGATGGACGAAAGTATATACACATTAGATATAGAATTTTAATTAATATAAATATTTCTTTTCTATTAATAGTCAATGTTAAGAGGACGTGGAGGATGTTATAAACATACATTCTATGGAATTGAAAGTCATCGTTGTATGGAAACAACACCCAGTCTTGCATGTGCAAATAAATGTGTTTTTTGTTGGAGGTAAATTAACAAAAAAAAAAAACTTTTTTTTTTGTTTTTTTCTTTTATCAAATATAATAGACATCATACAAATCCAGTTGGTACATCATGGCAATGGAAAACTGATGATGCTCAAACAGTGTGTCAAGGTGCTATAGAAAATCATTATAAAATGATAAATACATTTAAAGGTGTACCTGGTGTATTACCTAGTCGACTTGCTGAAGGTATTTAATAGAAAATTTCAATAAAAAAAAGAAAACGATATACGAAATTTTTCTTAATTATCTTTTAGGTATGAAAATTCGTCATTGTGCATTATCACTTGTTGGTGAACCAATTATGTATCCACATATAAATGAATTAATTGATTTACTTCATTCTAAACAAATAAGTTCATTTCTTGTTACAAATGCACAATTTCCTCATGAAATAAGATCATTAGAACCTGTTACACAATTATATGTTAGTGTTGATGCAGCAACAAAAGAATCATTAAAAAAAATTGATCGTCCTTTATTTCGAGATTTTTGGGAACGATTTTTAGATAGTTTACGAGCATTAAAAGATAAAGTAAAAAAATTAAAAAAAAAAAAATATTTTATTAAAATTCAGATTTTATATATTATAGGGTCAACGGACAGTATATCGATTAACATTAGTTAAAGGTTATAATACTGAAGAAATAGAACAATATGCTAAATTAGTTGAACTTGGTGATCCAGATTTCATTGAAGTTAAAGTATGTTAAAATTTCTTAATAGAAGCAAAGTATGTAAAACATATTTTTCTTCTAGGGTGTTACCTATTGTGGAGATTCAAGTGCAAGTCATTTAACAATGGCTAATGTTCCATGGCATGAAGAAGTTGTAACATTTGTTCAACTTCTTTGTGATCGTTTACCACAATATGATTTAGCATGTGAACATGAACATTCAAATTGCATTTTACTTGCTCATAATAAAGTAAGAATATAATAAATGAAAGAAAAAAAAAGAATTTTTTATTTTATTTTCATAAACAATTATTTTGTAGTTTCGTGTTGATGGTAAATGGCATACATGGATTGATTATGAACGATTTCATGAACTTGTTACTAGACATAAAGCTACATCAGGTGTTGAAACATTTACTTCATTAGATTATATGGCAGTAACACCTGATTGGGCAGTTCTTGGTTCAAATGAACGTGGTTTTGATCCGAGTGATACACGATGGTATCGAAAAGCAACAGCAAAGAAAAATTTGTCTGGTTGTTAATTTTACTTTTGATGTTTGTTTGTTTGTTAATGTGTATCGTAAAAATGAACGATCTCATTGTTTGTGTGTGATTTAAAATCAAGAAACAAACGTGTTTTTTTTTCTATTATTCTATGGTTTTTGTTTTGTTTTCTAGATGGCATCTCGTGCTCGTATAGAAAAAATGTCGGCGGAAGTTGTCGATACAAATCCATATAGTCGTTTGATGGCATTACAACGAATGGGTATTGTACAAGATTATGAACGTATAAGAGAATTTTCAGTTATGATTGTTGGCGTTGGTGGTGTGGGAAGTGTAGCTGCAGAAATGCTTACACGATGTGGTATTGGAAAGGTATATTAATAGAAAAGAAAATGATGGATTTAGGTAGCGCCCTCTTAGATTCCATCAGGTGCAAGTCCGAAAAATTTTCGATCCCAATGGTCTCTATACGTCTCTTCTTTTTTTTTGATTCTTAAAGAGAATACAATTAATCCTATTGAAATCTTTATCACAGAAAGAATACCTCCCAGTCAGACAAAAATTTTGAAAAACGCGTTTAAACGCACAATCGGGAGCCGCGACTGTGATCCATTAATGCTCATTAAAAAAACGCACGAAAACGCGTTTATTGGCGTTTTTTGCAACTTTCTGGGCGTTAAAACGGTGAAAACTCCAATTTTTGAGCGTTAAAACGTNGCTTCCCTAATCTTGATGTGAGTGTGATATATTTCTTCGATAATATCTGATCCAAAGTGAAAACTTTTATCGACCATCTATACAGAAAATATGTTAAAAGAAATCCAAAATCAACACCGTTCTCCCGATTACAGGATAAAGAATTTCGTGTAACAAAATTGAAACTTTGTTTTACTCTATAGAGTGTTCAAAGTGTTTTTACTTAAATTAACAAACAATTTTCATATTACAACATTATAAAGCACTCCACCTAAGTACAGACGATCTTGTGTATTCAATAGTACTTCACTTTCCAACCTGAATATATTTGAACGAGTTTTTTTAGGATGGCTTAACACTGGTAACATGAATACTGCACGATATCGTCATACAGCATCCGTATTAACAAATAGAAAAGTGTTAGTTACTGGTGGAGAGAACGTTAGTTCTGTTTTTAATAGTACTGAATTGTATGATTCATCAATTGGAACTTGGACAATCGCTAGTACTATGAATAATGCACGTCGAGACCACACAGCATCCGTTTTACTAAATGGAAAAGTATTAGTTACTGGTGGATATAATGGTACTTTTGATCTAGATAGTGCTGAGTTGTATGACCCAACAACAGGAGCTTGGACAATAACTGGTAGTATGAGTGATGCAAGATATTCGCATACGGCATCCGTATTAAAAAATGGACAAGTATTAGTTACTGGTGGATATAATGGTAGTTCTTCTGTTGATAGTGCTGAATTGTATGATCCAACAACAGGAACCTGGACAATAACTGGTAGTATGAATAATGCTCGGTATTACCACACAGCATGCGTATTAAATAATAGTCAAGTGTTAGTTATTGGTGGATATAATGATAGTTTTACTCTAAATACTGCTGAGATTTATGACCCATCAACGGGATATTGGACAGACACGAGTAGCATGAATACTACACGACGTTGGCACACAGCATCGATATTAGCCAACGGAGCCGTGTTAGTTGCTGGTGGATCTAATGGTAGTTCTTATCTAAATAGTGCTGAATTTTATGATGCGTCAAACGAAACTTGGACAAGGACTGGTAGTATGATTAGTGCACAATATAACCGAAAAGCGTCCGTTTTAACAAATGGAAAAGTCTTAGTTACTGGTGGACTCGGTGTTACTGATACCACAAATAGTGCTGAGTTGTATGATCCATTATCAGAAAGTTGGACACCGACTGATAACATGAATAATGCGCGATTTTGGCACACTGCATCCATATTAACAAATGGAAAAGTGTTAGTTACTGGTGGATACTTTCTTCGTGCTCTCAGTAGTTCAGAAGTGTATTATCCATCTCAAACAGATGAACAATGAATAATTTTATGTTTACAGGTGCAAGCAATTTTGACATTCACAAACTAATTTGATAAAGAGAACTATTAGATTTAAATGACAAAGAATGATTTTCTTAGATATTTTTGTCAGTTTGCCATACATTTGAGAATTGGATTTAAAATATCAAAATAATTTTGTTATTTTAAATTTTAAATTTATCTTCAGTACAAATATTCGGTTTCCTTTATGTCAGTAATCAATGTCCTATCAATACTTCAGGCTGCATCCGTAGATTGAATTTTGAGCTTTTTTGCATGTAAATTTTCAAAGATTTTGTTTTCTTTTGGAATAAAAATTGTAGTTTCTTGTCTCTAATATATCTAATAGCCAGCTCAGAGATGGCGGAGCGATTCTAATCTAGGGGAGGCTCAAAACTTCTCAGGAACGATAGGAAGGTGATGTTCGGGGAGGGATATTTTCTAGCTTTTCCACTTTAACTTTTATCAAGGGATATCGGATGTCTCAATGTGTTTTTGAACAGCATCTATTTGACATATCGGCTTTCACAAGCGTGACGCAATGACGTTTTGTCCACAGTTTCTTTAGTTTCTTTTAGAAACCAGACCACTTAGAAATGTGATTCTTTTATTAAATGATACGTCTCTCTACTCTGTCACAATTCGTGAAAACCCGAGCTCGTTTGGCTTAGTCGTTTGAAAATTCTGGCAAAAACACTGAGCAAAACGCGATGATGAAAATTGGACAAAAAGTTGAGGGTGACATGTTTGTTCGTTGTTTTTTTCTGAATACGCACTACGATGGAAAAAGCGATTCATAAGGACTTTGTAGCCGACAGTATGGGGTATCCGGCGAAAAAATAAAATTGTTCAAAAAGATTATTTACTGGCTTGTTATTTCGGTTTAATTAACATAACATGATGATGATTTTGTAACGCGATGACGAAAATCAGTAAAATGCGCTCTGTTTTATCTTATCGAAATCTTATTGATGATTGACAAATGTGAGCAAAACCACCTTTTCTTAGAACAAAGAAGAGATTTCGTATGCTTTGGGCTAGGCCCTATTTGACGGAAGTATTGATATTACAACTCGGTTTTTTAATTTTCCGGCACAAGAGTTGACGCGTTACGAATTTTTGCCGATATATGCCCTTCTATAGGCGACTGATATAATCTAGGAGCGTTGTCGAAAGATATCCTATGGAAGTTGAGAGTCCTTCGTGGTTTTTTTTTTTTGGAATTTCCAGGATTCATTTTAATTAAAAAAATTCTCTATTTCATAGCATAGAACATAATATAACTTTACTAAAAAAATCCATGATTTGCAAGAAAAAGCGTTCATCTTTCAGCTGTTCTTCATCTGAAGTCTTGTCTACTTTTATCTTCGGTGTCATATGCCCGTGTTTGCCTCAATTTCGTTCAGTTGACGATGAAAGAAGTATCTAAGTACAGGAACTTTCAGAAAAGTTTCGAAAAAATGAAATATAGACGCTGTTGTTGAATTCTCTACAACAATGCATCACAACGTCTTGTCCATCTCTCCTGATGAGTTCTTAGAACAGTGAAAGATAGGATATATAAAATATTGCTATGTCGTATCATGTTGAAAGTAATAAAAATATTTGTCATACATATTTTTNAAATCATAGAAAAACTTATAGTCGTCTTTTTGTAGACAAAAAACTTCATGAATTTTGTGAATCAGAATAGTTTTTCTTGCTTTTACTGTAGAAAGACATCAGTGGCATATCAATTCATTGGACAATAGCCTATAGCTGTCTACTCCTGAAAACAATTTGACTGATAAATAGTCCACAAATAAAAAAAATCTTCGGCTATGCCACTGAATGACACGTATGTTAGGCAGAGGCGGCGGAGCGATTCTAATCTAGGGGAGCCTCAAAACTTCTCAGGAACGATAGGAAGGTGATGTTCGGGGAGGGATATTTTCTAGTTTTTCCACTTTAACTTTTATCAAGGGATATCGGATGTCTCAATGTGTTTTTGAACAGCATCTATTTGACATATATACCCTTCTATAGGCGACTGATATAATCTAGGAGCCTTGTCGAAAGATGTCCTATGGAAGTTGAGAATCCTTCATGGTTTATTTTTTTTTTGGAATTTCCAGGATTCATTTTAATTAAAAAATTTCTCTATTTCATAGCATAGAACATAATATAACTTTACTAAAAAGAAATCCATGATTTACAAGAATAAGCGTTCATCTTTCAGATGTTCGTCACCTGAAGTCTTGTCTACTTTTATCTTCGGTGTCATATGCCCGTGTTTGCCTCAATTTCGTTCAGTTGACGATGAAAGAAGTACCTAACTACAGAAACTTTCAGAAAAGTTTCGAAAAAATGAAATATAGACGCTGTTGTTGAATTCTCTACAACAATGCATCACAACGTCTTGTTCATCTGTCCTGATGAGTTCTTAGAACAGTGAAAGATAGGATATATAAAACATTGCTATGTCGTATCATGTTGAAAGTAATAAAAATATTTGTCATAAATATTTTTTCACACAAAAATCTTGAAAACTTGAATCTGTTTTTCAAGAAGCAAAATGTTCTCTTGAGTTGTCTCAATTGGTTTTGAGAGAACTGAAAACAAAGACGTGCAAGATACTATATTTTTCACTCTTCTAAATTAAATTTCCTCCAGTATTTAAACGAGTAATTGTCTGACTGTTCACTTTTAAGTCTTTCAGGCGATCTTCAAACACGAAACGTATCATTCTGGTATTACCATTGCATTTAGTAGTGTTTTAATACATTAAACTTGGTTTTGATAAAAATTCGGCCTTTTTAGTAGCGTTCAGTTTACTGTTATC